CCTCAGAACTATCAACTCCATGAATCCATCCCGAGCTCATGCCAGCGTAGCAGCAAGTTGTACGGGGATAATTCCATCTCCGCATCCGATATCTAGAATAACATCATCGCTTTGTACATCCAACCAATATAGAACTTTGGTGGCGAGTTTGGGGACGAAAGACGCGGAGTTTTGGTAGGCCTTTTTGGGTTTGGTTTGATTAGGTTATTGTTCTTTTCTTTTGTTGCTTTTTGGGGGGTGCGGTGGGTAGGGAGAGGGAGATTTCTTATTGTTTGGGTTTTATATCTGATTAGAGATATATAAAGAGAGAATAGACAAACGGAAAAGAAACAAGATGTAAATACCGTCGCAGACCAATGATCTTCACGTTTTACTTCTGCTCCCATTTCTTCCAACTTCAAAATCGAAATCGAAATCAAAATCCGAATCCAAATCAATACCTGTATGCCTAATATCAGTCAAATCCACGTTCAAGCCCCCAAACCCAATATACAAAAACTCAACTCCAAGTGCCTCCGAATTCATACACAGTCAAATTTTAGACGCATCACATCACATCACATCACATACCTATCTTAACCTCATCACATCAAACCGTAGTCAGAGAACACACGAATAGAGGTAAGGTTACCTACTCGTATAAACAAAAATATAAAAAAATAAGAAGATAAAAGAAATAAAAAAATCGTCCAATATCTATCTATCTATCTGGCCTATATATATATTTCTTAAATAAAAATATAATACAAACACAAATAAAAATTCATAGATCATGTATACATGTATGCATACATATATATATATATATATTCACCACATTCTAAGAGTCGAGGTTACTTGAATAAATAAAATATCCCATGATCAGTCACGGATGTAAGTTGACTTAATTAGTACTCCGATTTCGGCGTTGTGAGAGATAGGGGATGGAAGCGAATAACCTCAGTTTATCTCTTGAATGGATGTATGATTACGTATGATACTGTTCGCTGCTCTCCGATTGCGCTTCATAGAGCATACTCCTGTCTTGATACTGTGTTAGGTTCCTGCCATACATGTTCATCGGATTCTATACCAGATAGTATTGATACTTTTGGAAGGTATTTAGTAATTCATTTTATCAAGCTGAATCTATGTACTCAATCAAATCCATGCGTAATGTAATGTATGTCACCTAACTCCGATTTCGCTCCCAAAAAAAGCTGGCCGCCATTCGTAATGTATCCTCCTTCTTAATCGATCTCCAAAAGTTCATATTTATTTTCACCCAATAAATTTTCGATTCTATGCATAATAGCAAGTACCTTCTCCTCCTGTAATCGTTGACCTACTACTTGAATTCCGACTGGAAGTCCATGCATAGCATTTGCATCATAATGCTTATAGGCACCATATGCGACCCCATTTAGAGATTTGAGGGAGAAATGTGAAGGAAGTTGATCGAGCTCTTTGTCGACGTGGGTTATAGGCATGATACCTGTTGTGTAGTCGAGCTATTTGAATGTTAGCTGATTGACAGAAAATATATGCAATGCACTTACAAGATTGAACAAGAAAGTGTAACCACAACTGCTAACTGCGTCTTTCATTCCGTCGTGAGGTACTGCTGGTGTTGCATTTGGTGGAGTGATCATGAAGTCAAGTTTCACTTCTTCCTCCCACCAAGCATGAAACTTAGCTTTGTAAGCTTCCCTCTTGGCAACAAATTTCCACTGCTCATAAGCAGATTTTTGATGCCATTCTTTGATTAACCCAGCCCAGATATCGTCCCTTCTGACATACTTAACCCAAGCCCAATACACCCATTTGAATGGTCTTGGTAAAGACATAAGCCAGCTCATTGCCTTTGCTCCTGGATCTTCCCACTCGCCAGTTCTGAAGAATGATTTAAAGGTCCTGCAACCGTCCGAGTTGAGAAGTTGTGAACCAATGTAAAGTGCTTCATATGGAGCTGGTGGATTAACATCATAAACTTCATGGCCATCCTTTTCAAGTGTAGCTACTACCTCATCCATAGCTCTCATACAAGCGGGACTTGGATCAACGACTCCATCGGTTCTTAACACACCGACTCTAAACTTCTTTTTTTCGCTGAAATCCCTCCATACCTCCTCTCTCCATGGAATGGGATGGACACTGTAATCATACCTCCATGGTTGCATACCAATCATAGATTTTGTGAAGTATGAGAGATCTCCCAAAGTTCTTGTCATAGGACTAAACACACTAGGAATACCCTCTTGACCTGGCATACTAGTGCACACCCCATTCTTAGGCCATCTTCCAGTTGAGCATCTCAAGCTATAAATTCCCGAGAAATGAGCTGGAACTCTAACCGATCCAGCAACATCTGAACCAATTCCAATTCGTCCACCACCAGCAGCTAACAAAGCAGCTTCACCTCCAGTAGATCCACCAGGTGAATATTTGCTGTTATGAGGGTTTGTGGATCGTCCCCAAAGATCGTTTGTAGATTCAAAACTTAGTAATGTAATTGGAAGATTCGTCTTGACATATGGAATTGCTCCAGCATCCTTTAGTATCCTCACCAAGGTCCCATCCTTTTCTATTTTGTTGCCAACGTTGCCACTATATCCCACACTTGTATCGAAACCACCGACTACAATTGAATCTTTTAGACTTATGGGAATACCTGCTAGAGGACCTTTCATATCGATACTTCCATCGGTTGTCCAACCTTCAGCAGCATCAATCATAACTTCCGTCACACAATTTGTTTTCTCATGAGCTTTGAGGGCGGCTTTTCCGTAGGCGCGTAGGATATCGATTGGTTGAATAGCTTGGTTGTGAACATCTTGAACAAGTTCTTCAATTGGTTTTGATAGCACTTGTCTTTCTGAATTCGTAAATGCTCCATGATAACTTGTAAGGTTTTGTATGCGCTGGGCTCGTTCTGCTTGTTTGAATTGACTGTAATGTAGTGTTAGACATTGATGGAGGATCTCCCGACGGAGTGGAGTTTCCTCGAGGTTGTTTTGATAACGATAAGAAATGACAAATGACAGTGGGACGAATACTTACCAATCCCTCCGATGCTGGAAATAATCAAGTAAATAGACCATTTTGACTATAAAGCAGCAGAAGCATAAACAGCAATTATATGAAGATATATGTATGCAAGATGAAGGACAGGAATATAGAAGGAAGAAAGGTAGAAATGTAGAAAGGCTGGTGTATGGAGGGGAAACTTAAAGCCATTGATATCCGGGATGCAGGACTTCCGTATATTGTATTGTACTGGACTGGGGAACCCTTTCCATGGATAAGCGGCTGCACATTCCTAAATTGGTTTGGAGAGCTAGAATACCTATCCAGAGCTATCTACTTGCTCTAGCTACCTAGATAGCTAAGACTTACCTACGAGTCTCCCACCTGTCAAATTTGTCAATAACAAGCGTAATGCGGGGTATAGTTATCAAGGCCAAGGCCAAGACCAAGGCGAGAAATATGCCACCAAACAAACAGCCCATCATTCCCTGGTCACCTGATTTTCATCTACCCCTCTTTTAGACTTCGTCCGACCTGCCACATATGTAAGTACCTAGGTAAGATTACATATTCATTCAATATGTCTACCACCTCTACCCCATATTCTTCCACTTCGACGCCAGCAACACTAGTTCATGACGGTGCCATTCACGACTTTGAGGATCCCCTTCACGAATACGACACACCACCCACAATACTAATGCCGGGCTCAGAACATCTGCTCATTTGTACGGCGTGTGGTACACAATTTGATGCTGAAGATCGATCCATTCTTACCAGATGTCGAATATGTGATGATCCTAGGCAATTCGTTCCGCCGACTGGTCAATCCTTCACAACTCTTGCGCAGTTAAAAGCTGGTGGAGAATATAAAAACAAATGGAAACAATTCGGAGACGATGAAAGATTTTGGAATATATGGACCGAACCTAAATTTGCAATTGGACAACGAGCGATACTGATCAAGACACCGCTTGGAAATGTTTTGTGGGATTGTATAACATATTTGGATGATGATACGGTGGATTGGATTCATGGATTGGGTGGATTGGCGGCGATTGTGATATCTCATCCACATTATTATACTACACATTTGGATTGGGCAGAGATATTTGATTGTCCAGTGTATTTGAGTTGGGAGGATAAGAGTTGGCTGAATCGACTTGACCGGATGGGAAAGGCAAGGACATTTATCGAGGGGAAAGAGGAAGATCTTGAGATACGGGGTGAGAAGACTGGTGTTAAGATGTTGAAGCTTGGTGGCCACTTCCCTGGGAGTTTAGTGTGTCTCGCTCATGAAAGATTACTGGTAGCGGATACCTTGGTAACGACACCAAGTGCTTTGGGAGATTGGAGTAAAGGTCCTGGAGGAGGGAAGAACACAAGACCGGATGGAATGAATAGTTATGCTTTCATGTGGAGCATACCCAATATGATACCCTTGAGTGCGGATGAGGTAGTTGGGATGTGGGAGGTCTTGAAGCCGCACAGTTTCTCGAGTACACATGGAGCTTTTATGAACATGGATGTGGTAGATGGAAGTAATGGGAGCGATAAAGGAGTTAAGCAGAGAATACTTGAAAGTATGCAGATTCAAGTGAGGAGAATGGGTTGGAATAGCCATATTTTCTTGAAAGAGAATTTGAAAGAGCTGGAAGAAGAGATTCTATGATACCAATGATAATGATAATGATTCTGATACCTGTTTATTTTGCCTTAAATCTGTTACATTTAAATTGATAATTTCCAAAACCGGTTGCATGTAGAAAATTGACCATATTATATGTCACATCGCTCAAATGGTAGAAGCCAAACTGACTCCACTGTCTAGTTACACCTTCAATATCCAACTTGATTCTGTTGGTTAATGCTATTTCTATACCCAAATACAATTTCTTTATCTCCTCCATCTTTAATTATATATTTCAACAGCTTGAAAGGAACGGAGATAGCATCTAATTTGATTTTATCATTTATTATATTCTCGGATATTTTTGTCTAGAGCTGTAGCATTACCCGTATACAGCTTTATATTTTTTCTGATTTATAAGTAACGTGGTTTATCAGCGAGCGGGCCATATCACCGAGCGGGCCACTTTTACCTCAATTTATCATTTCAAACCCATATTATTTAACAACAATTAAATCAATTGATTGAAACTATCAAGAATCTAATAATCTAGGATCTATTATACTATTCTGACAAGTTCTTGAATTATGACCAGTCTTTCCACACTTACTACAGCATCGACTAGTAGATGATTCCCTATTAAAATTTCCCCCATTTTGACGCTCGTCGCGTTGAATCTGATTATCAACCTCTTGTTGTGATAATATATCTTCAGCTTCTTGTCCAGTAAGTACTCCTCCATTACGTAGTTGAATTTTTTTAGCGCGTCGACGTTTACTTAATACCTCATTTGCTCTTCGAAGCATACGATTCTCAGCACTCAAAAGTGTAACTTCATGTGCTAATCTCTCTGTACCTTTAACTAAAGCTTGTACAGTCTCAAATATAGGTGTAGGAGAGCTTGATTGATGACGAGTTATTCGAGCTTTTACTAGAGTTGATTGTAAGAGAGCCTCAGTTGGATTATGAGGGGTTTGAGAGATCCAGGAGTTGGTAAGTTCCAAGGAGGTAGATGGAGGGGTAGAAGTACGAATCCTAATATCTAGTTTTGAAAGTATAGATTGAGGATCGAATGGTATTAGTCCTGCTCCTCGAAAACCAGCTTTCATATTCTGAATAGTAAATGATTGTAAATATGCAGCTTTGAAGGCTATAAAGAATTCAACCTTGGTAATATGATTGATATGAGCTTTGATAAATCCTTCAATTTGACAACTATATGAACGTTTGAGTATGCCAAAACACCCAACATCGAGTGGTTGAGTTAAATGACTTGAATGTGGTGGTAATTTGAGGCATATAATATCATTTGATTTGCAATATGATTGAAAAGGTATTGATTCATGGCTTTCGTGCCCATCCAATACTAGCATTCGATATTTGCCCTTTCTTTGACGAATAGTATGTTTATCGAAATGCTTTAACCATTCTAACCCTGTTTCATTATTCGTCCATCCATTGGAAGTAGGTTTAATAGCCCAATCCGCAGGAAAATCGGTTTCGGTATACCAATTGGAAAGATGAACTTGTCCTTGAACTACCAGAAATAGAGGTATAATTTCACCCTCTCCATTGCCACATATAATTGCTGTAGCCCACTCTCGATTGCCTGGTTGTATTGCCTTGCTTCTACCATTTCGTTCAGCACTAGTTACAACCATTCCAGAGCATATTATACCCATCATGAAGCCGGTTTCGTCGAAATTGTAGAAATCAGAATCGACAATACCATATTTCGCCCGCATATTCGATACCAATCTAAATCACTCTTCAATAAGCTTGGGATCTTCGCAGAGAGCTCTTTGAAAATCATAAATGCGATTAAAACGCGTCTTTAATTCTGGACATCGTTTAACAAAGCGATGAGCCCAGAGCTTTCCAACCTTCTTCGCACCCCGCGATTCGAGGATATAATTCGCCATATCTTCTACACCATTTAATTTAGGTGCAAACCCTCTCTCATCCATATCGATTATATACTGGATAAGCACTTCCTCTTCTAATTTGGTCAAATTATGACTATTTGCTCGAGATTCGATACGAGGGGTAGTACCGTCCATTCTGCGCTGAATCTTTGTACGCGGGATATTATATAGCTTAGCAGCCTTCCGAATGCTTAATTTTTGGTCTTTATTGATAGCTTCGATAGCTAAAAGTATTCGACCTTCTTGATTATTCGATTCCATAATATATTGTTGATAAATCGCGTATTGAAGTTGAAAGATATAAATTGAGGTAAAAGTGGCCCGCTCGGTGATATGGCCCGCTCGCTGATAAACCACGTTATATTCTTTGTTAAAAGGAATAGAAGTTACCGGTACTAATCACGTGTCGTGATTAGTAATACGGTTACCTAAACAGGCTAGATTAGATGAACCATAAGCAGGCATATTGGTCCCCTCCGAGGATACCAAGAGGAGATCTTAATATGCCTACAGACGTAGTAATATAGTCAATATAGAGGCCTCTTCCACCCAATCTTTTAATATTCTTATATATCTATTATACTTAATGAGATGATGCTTCTAATTCTTAATTTGGCTTCATTAAAACATTCTAGATTAAATTTAAACTACCTAGTAGCACCAAAACTACCCCAGCCAAGCCCCTGAAAATCAACCCTTATCCACTGTTATCGCGCCACTTCTACAGGGTCAATCTAGGCCCTATAAGGTATATTGCTTCTATATATATCTCACAAGCTGAGGCTTCAACACTAAAACTTTAAATTTAACCTCACCCAATCCCCAATTTTAATTCCCCTAAGCTCCAAGCTGAATCTCCCAGCGTCGTAATAATAATAGATGCTCAACACAAATCCCATCTGCGCCAATTCTATGCACAAAATACGAATTCCACCCCAGAATCTACCGTCCACGCAAGCACGAGTACGTACGTACCTTAATATAACAACATTCTTGTCATCATTCCTTGGTACGGAGCTACGGCCAAGGAGGTCAGTCGGGTATGGCATTCAATTGTAGGTAGGGGAGCAACCAAATTGGAATTTCAGAATGGCACCTTTTACTTCACGTTCTCAATATACCCATTCGACGCGCGATCATTTTAGAGAGCCTCCTTCGGTTTTTAGGAGGTTGTTGTTGGCGCTGCCGACGGATTTGGCGGTTAGTTTGCAGAGAATGGCAGATCAACGGAATTTGGGTGTGGTTGGGGGAATGCTATCGAGGGTATCAAGGTCATTGAGGGGGTGGATGAGGGATTGGAGTTGGAGACGTTTTTTTAGTTTACCACATTTACTGGTCTGTGTGTGGGTGGTGGTTCTATTATATGGAGAGCGCTGGGTGTTTGAGGAAGCTGTGCGAGCTTGCGCTTGGGAGGAATGGGAGAGATGGGTGAGTTTTCTTAATGGGGTTTTTGAAATCATTGACGACGAGGCTGATGATATATTTGATATGAATAGCCTCCAAATACTACACCGCATCATTTAATATTTTTGGCAGATCCTCAACTTACGGATCCGCATTCGTATCCAGATCGTCCATGGCCTTTGTCAACATTTACAATATGGCATACGGATAATTATATGAAGAGATCTTATATACAACTTTCGAAGCAATTACATCCAGATACTGTATTTTTCTTGGGAGATTTATTTGATGGTGGAAGAGAATGGAAGACGGCGCATGGAAATTCAGAAGACCCAGCATGGGCAAAAGGACGTCGCCCAGCAAAAGAGCAGAAGCATGTTGAGAGTTGGGGAAGAAGATATGGAGAGGACTATTGGCTGCAGGAATATGGTCGCTTCTCTAGGATATTCTCGGACAACTGGAATTTGGGAGGACCAGAAGCTGGAGTTGGGCAAAGGGGACGAAAGCTAATTGCTAGTTTACCGGGAAATCATGATTTGGGGTTCGGTGCACAAATCAAGGTTCCTATTCGTGACCGATTTGAGGTCTACTTTGGAGATGTAAACAGAGTGGATGTTATTGCGAATCATACATTTGTTTCTGTGGATGCGGTATCATTGAGTGCTGGAGCATCAGATCGTCCAGTCAGTGAAACTGCACCCATCACCAAACCAGTCGAGGACTTTTTGAACAATGTTCAAATTACCAAACGAAAGGCCGTGGCTAGAGAATTGGATTTTCAGGCTGGAAAGGAAAGGGTTTTGCAATATTCTCATTCCGTTCAAGATGCGGAATTGGCCGATTACGAACATTTACCAACTCTTGACCCTGGACCAAATGGTGCTGAATTTCCTACTATCCTTCTTACTCATGTGCCCTTATATCGAAATCCTGGGACTCCATGTGGCCCTCTTCGAGAACATTGGCCGCCAACCCCTCCACCAAAAGGTCAAACTACCCCGGTTATCCCTGATCATAGAAACGCCATTAGTGTATCCCGAGGCTACCAATATCAAAACGTCCTTAGTGATGATGACTCTAGAAAACTCATCTCAAAAATCGGTAATGTCGTTTCTGTCTTCTCAGGTGACGATCACGATTACTGCGAGCTAGTACATCCAGAAGATAAAAACCATGCACGCGAAATAACAGTCAAGAGTATGAACTGGGCAATGGGAATTCGTAAACCCGGTTTCCTCATGCTGAGTATGTGGAATCTAGTGGGGGCAGATGGAAAACCATTACATTCAATACCTACAGGTCATGGTGCCGAGAATACGCATACTTCAAATACCATGGAATCCCATCTTTGTCTTTTACCCGACCAAATAGGTATTCTCATAAACTATGGAATCCTAGTCGGAATATCCCTCATCCTCCTCATCATTCGAGCAATTCTCGTCCCTTTTACAAACCTCATCCCATTCGCTTCTTCACCCCCCTCAAAGAGTCCTACCTTCGAATCCGAATTCTCGCTCCTCCCAACCAGCATTAAAGATCTCAAACGCAGCGAAGAAGAAAAAGATCGTTTTAGTAATTCTTCAACTTCTTCTACATCCACGGTAAACAGTTCCGCAACTCGTACATCTAGAACACGCACCTCGAGTCCGGCAAATGGTTACGGTCTCCCGGCAAATTCTCACGGTATCCCATATCAACAACAACAACCATTAATAGAAAAAGCGGGATATTATGGTGGATTAGAAGGAAGATTAAGGTGGGAGAGTGAGAGGGAATTTGAGAGGGAAATGGAGTTGGAGAGGAAAAGGAAACAGGAATTGGAAAGGAGGAAAAATTATAGACCTTGGAAAATAGTGGTTTGGTGGGGAAGATTCAGGGGGACGGTGCCCGGACGTATGCTGAGGGAAGTGGGTGCAAGTGTTTGGAGGGTGCTGTGGGTTGTTGGGGGTGTATTTCTATGGTTTACTTGGTTTGGGTAGTCTATGGTAGGGTACGCTAGGGTAGGCTAGGCTTGGGTGGTAGTGGTAGCGGTAGTTAAATGAGTTTGGGGCGTTTTTTGTATGCATTTAGGAGCGTACTTACTTGCTCACTTGCTGCTATTTAGTTTCTACCTTATATAGAATCATTTTATATTTTACTTCTATTTCTACTTGTGACCAAAAGGGTGTTTATAGACCAGCAATTGTATTTAACTTAGAATCTACAGGTGAAGAGCACCTGTAGATGGGGATAGCTACTCTATATATACACAAATGAATAGCCTAGCCGCAATAGCTAGGCAAAAAGAAGTCATATTTATTCCTCCAATGATCTTACTTTACCGATAACCATTGATACCTAGTACTTGTCCGGATCTGATCCTCAGGTCACCTAAATCGCATACTAATCTCGAGTAATCGTATCATGTGTGGACATGGTTAATGTACCTGAGGTTTCTTATATAATAAAGGTGGGAGGAAAGCAGGGATTTCCGTCACAACGCCTCACACCTCCGGGTCACGTGGCATGCCCCGTTTGTATTTAATCATAGGAAAACTCTCTACTCTTGTTTTCCTTCTTCTTTTCTCCTTAGCTTAGTATTTTCTAATACAAGATACTTTACCCAGTATTCTTGAGTGTGACAGAATTAATGATTATAAATTTATGATATTTAAAATACTTAAAATACTTAAAATACTTAAAATACTTAAAATACTTATTTAAGTATGATGTCGATTTGAGCGAGATGTTATTAATGGAGTTGATTGTTACGACGGGCTACACAACTACCATTACACGACCAAGGCACGTGATTACAAGTGATCAGTAGTGATCATTAAGGATCACTAAGGATCACGGTATAGGTGATCATTGGTGATCATAGAAGCATGAAGGTCTATATAATCAAGATGGATTTCCTTTGTATAAAGCTTCGTGCTCAAGATCAATCATTTAGTATACTCTACTATTAGTTACGAATTGCATATCATTATTGTCATTACTTTAAGTCCCTACTTGACGCCTAGTTATAAACCTATCTCGAGAGCCTAGAGCACTTCCACGTGATCTAGACGGCTACCCTCGTAACATTGATGTTTGAGTTTGTGTTGGTTTTAGTTCTTGATAAGAAGTTTGGAGTTGTAAGATTGAGAATATTGAGTTTGGACTTTCGGGTTTTTAGGTATTGATTGATGAGTTATAAGAGTGTTTGTTGGTGGGGATATGAATGAGAGTATGGGATAAAATGGGGATGGGTAGGGATAAGTAGGTAGTGAGGGGATCTATCTGGAAGGGATGGGAGATTGGATGGGGATATCTTGTATGCAGAGGGAGTATTTTGAAGAATTTATCGATTTAATCATGGGGTATGAATCTGATAATTTTACCACTAATTTCTCCATATTCGCACAGGTAAAGAAGCGGATTAAATATAAATACACTCGAGTATAATAGAATATAATCTATTAATGGTATCAATTCCCAACTCCAAATTCACCACTATCCTCTAATTAATCCCACTCACGACCCATCAACCACCTCTCCCCTCCCTACAGGCGTATTCCCAAAACTCTCCAAACCCCTATCTCCACCTCCAATCCTCTCTCTCACCATCTCATTACTCTTATCAACCAATTCCTTCACATCAGTCATTTCCAGTTCCTTCACCTGAGCATCTGCTTTCAAAGACGAATATCTCTGTCCCGCCTGTGTTAATAGTACTTGAACTTCCTCTTCCCTTTTAATAATATCCGATTTTTCCTTTTGACCTTCTTCAATCTTCTTTTTCCTCTTGGAAAGTTCGAGTTCCATTGTATTTAACGTATTTTGTAATCTTTCTAGACACTCTGATAATACAGGTATTGGAGTAATCCTAGCAGGAATCTGGTTTTCTTCTCTGGCAGCTGCTGCATCATCATGTTTATGCAATCCGTCCATGCCAGCTCTTGTTTGTGCAGCTTCATATGCGGCTCTTCTTTCTGCTTCTGAATTATCACTCTCTTCATCTGAGCTACCTTCGGCTTGTTGAATCAAATCTGCCATTTCTTTCTTACGACGACGTCGTTCCTCACGTTCTTGTTTTTTTCCTAGAGAAATCCGTCCATCGTCTACGAATTCCTCAAAACCTTCCATGATTTCTTCATCGTCTCTAACCAATCTTGATTCTGGTTTCTTTTGTCGAGGAAGAAGTGACAAATTTCGTCCTCCATCCGGTTCATCATCATTCAAAGAAATGAAATCTTTTTCCCTAGCCATCCTAGCCCTCCTCTCTTTCTTCTCCCTAATCTCCGCCTCCGTAGGTATAACGGACGCCGTACTTCCCCCAAACTCCCCAATCGTATCTCCATTCCCCTCAAAATCCACAACCATAGCCCCTTCCAACTCACTCGCATCCAAGAACGGTTCCTCTCCTCCCCCAATCTCCACATCTGCCAATTCTTTCATAGCACTAGCCTGCGAACTCTTCAATTCCTTCAAGTAATCCTTACTATAAGTCGGCCTTCCCATTCCCGAATCCCCATCTTCATCTTCATCCCTCGCCCTCATCGGCAAAGGTAATCTCGCATTGCTTTTCTTCGCATTTCCTTCTGCGACTTTTCGAGCAAGAGGTTTCTTTACCAAAGTAAACGATTCATCATCCTCGAGATTTTCGGCATTGGAACCGGATATGATGTCGCCTACTCCAAACGAGAGACGTGATGATGCCGGTCTCTTCTTCTTCTTAAAGGGAGTAGTTTTGACTATCGGAGATTTGTCTGTAGCATTGCCATCGCTAGGAGTATCGTTTTTGGGCACATCGTCCCCTTCTTGCGTCAAGTCATCAAATGCGATACTCCGGCGCAAATTGGATTTCTTGAGCGGTTTTCGAACTGCCGACATCTTCTCTTCTAGTCAAACTTTCTTTCCAGCTCAAAAAGTCTACCGATCACCTCTTTGTATAAATGCCTCGTAAAATAGAAATCATGCACTCCAATTGTAATAAACAGAGACGCGCTCAAAGAAGCTCTGCCTCGCCATCTACGATAAATAAAATACCATCTTCTTATCACCACGTGACCACAAACTCCAGCCTCACGAAACCTCAAGCAAGCCACAAAATTTTGGAGTTGTTTCTATCTAGAGCAGGCAATCAAGCTTCCAATTTCACGACATCTACACGACGAATATACCAAATCTATCGTCAACATGCCTCAAGCTCAGCCAGAGCTTAAAAAGGTGTGTGTGATTCCCGAGGTCCTGATGAATGAAAGTAGAGAAGAGCGAGATTGAGGAACGCGACAAGGCGATCGATTGAAGCTATTGCGCGAAAGCTAGTGGAAGGGAGAATGGTTGGAGAATTGATTGCTAACTCTGTTGTCCGTGTAGTATCTCGATAAGAGACTATTTGTGCAGTTGAATGGTAGCAGAAAGGTCATTGGTGTTTTGAGAGGTTACGATGTTAGTTCCGTCTCGCGCGCATTCCAAATCCAATCTGGCTAACAAGATGAAATAGGTCTTCTTAAACATTGTGCTAGACGATGCAGTTGAGGAGAAAGAGGGTGGTGAGAAAGTGAAGATTGGAATGGTTGTATGTAGTCGCATAGCCACCGCACTCAGATTCAGAGACTAACAGGGTATCAGGTTATTCGTGGAAACTCAGTCGTTATGCTCGAGGCATTGGAGAGAATAGGTGGTGGAAGGGAAAACAGAGGAGATTGAGAAGGGAGGTAGGAATTTTGAGGATTAATGTCGAGATTTTAAGGAATATGAAGGAAAAGAAATCGAAGATTACATCTGGACCAGGGCGTTTACAGGCTATATGAATACAAAATTGCATATTGAGGAGCACGGAAGAAGAAAAGACAATCTTTTTGCAAGATGAACCATGGTTTCAATAGCTTATACCCCTTCTAAAGAAAGTTCTGCACCTCATTTATTCAATGTCGTGGAATCGACTGGACGTGATACTCCGTCCCTCTTACTTAACCTCCTCCCACTTCCCCCCCTCAAACCCATCCATAAACATTCCCTCAAACTCCTTCACCCAACGCTTAATTCCACCTTTCAAGACAAGAACCTGAATATTACTCTTCTTCCCAAACTTCGCTACATCATCAATATAATCCTGCATCCAACCAGCACATCTTGGGCCTCTACCTGACGACGAACCTACACCTCATTAACATCCCTCTCTCCCATTTCCAAAAACTAGAACCACAGAAATACATACCACAATAAAAAATAAGCTTCGTCATTCCCGCCCTATTGCAAAGTTCAAAGAGCGTCTTCCGCGTTTGATAAAAACTTTGCGCGGGAAGATTAAGTGAGGTTTTGATCGTTCCGCCCTACGAATTTACACATAATTATCAGAAACAACCCAGCTCAGCCCCAATGATTCCCATAGAGGCATATCACCATATCACCCTACCATCTATTATCCCTCATATACACATCCAAGCAACTAAAACAGATACAAACTCAAAAATAAAAACAAAAAGCAAGAAATAACATACCACCCAATCATCCCTCCTAACATCCACTAACAAGAAACTTCTCGGCTCAGATGTAATATCCATATCATCCAACAACTTCATCACATCATCTGCTGTGATTTCCGGACATTTTGCTCTTGCTTCTGGAAATGCTTTCCACCATGGAGTTTCTGATTTGATATCTTTGGTATCCGTCATGATTCTTTTGATTTGAGGTGAAAATTGTGCAAAAGAATTTGAAAAATTTTGTTTGGTGGAGGTTGTGTATCAGGCAGCCTTTTCACATGCGGCTTGCCAAGGTCATGAATTATTGAGTACTTTGTCGAGGTTTTGATACTGTCACTGTCAAATTCAAATTCAAATTCATATACATTGATTGAAGGTGTCATTTTTTAAGAGATATTCTATATCATTTCTTTCATTAAGTACAAGGTATATACAGGATTTTAGATTACACGAATGGGAAACGAGAAAACTAATGACCCTTTTTAGAACCCTTCTTTGCTTTTTTATGCGTCTTGTCACCCATCTCCTGTTCATAAATTTCTGCTGCTGATTCGCCTGCCTTTCTCTTTGTTTTGGCACTCTTTACACCGACTACTATATCCTTCTTTCCGGATTTAGCAGCATTTTTAACCTGCTTCTCGGCTTCTGCCCAACCTGGTGCTCCTGCTTCGATTTCATATCTGGTCAATGGATTAGCATTTCAATTTTCTCAGAGTGCTGGAATTAAAGACATACTGGTCCAAAGGGAGAGCATCAATAAGCTCCCTTTGCTTTTCTTTTAAAGCTTTCATAGCTTCATCTCCACCTTCTTCCAATTCTTCTTCGAGTCCTTGTTCTAGGGGCACAAATCTGTCATCTACAACTTCATCATCCAAAGCTCCATTTGCATCTTCTCTGCTAACACCGATGCTTTCGCGCCCTGGCATCTCAGCTTCTATAGCCCCGGAAACCAGGTCGCCGAAGTGTGCACTCATTTTGCGCATGATCTTAATGAACATGGCTAATAGCTGGGAGGACGGAAGTGATAATTCCGATTCGATGGCTGTTAGGTCTTTTCTTTGCAGACCGACAGCAAGAAGTATCGATGATTGGATACCCGTGAGCTTTATATCAGACTTCAAACGACCAGTGAAATATAAGTTCGCAAGCGTTGGTATGAGATCTAGAATGACGTGGTAGTCAAGCATATTATTTGCATAGGATTCTAAGCGCTTAAGATCAAATGGCGACATGAGTTTGTCTAACTCGGCTTTTGAAAGCGGCTTGGGTGCGGCTTCTGGGTCTGATTTTGAACCAGCGTTTGCTGATTCGTCAATACTCAAGGCAAGGACGGAAGGGAATTCGCGGAATTGGTATGAAAGGAGAGACAAGAATCTGCGATGGAAATCTCGAGAGAAAGCAGACTCCCAGTCTCTATTCTCACTATTTTCCAAAGTGCGAACCATAACACAGGTGTGCTCTCCAGTCAATTCGTTCGGCGTTTGTCGAAGATAGAGGGGAACAAACGAGGCTCGTTTCCAAAATCTGTGGAGAGGTTGAGTAAGTCCGTAGCTGACACCAATATAATCGAGATTATCGGGTCGCTTCTCCGATAGCTTCGAGAAGAGGGGTGGCATTTTTCTTATATCCCTAACCTTGATGTTGTCGTCAAGAAGGGATGCACTAGTCAACTCCTCGTCAGTGACACGAGTAATTGTCTCTTCCACGTAATCATTCATATCCTCTGAGAGGTTAGCGAATTTTCCTTCATAGAAATCAGTGAGAAGTTCGAGAGCTTTGCTTCCATATCCCATCTTGATATAATCAGGATTTGTTGCTATCCGAACCACACGTGCTCCGGAGAGACCAGCGAAATCGTCATCTTGAAATTGCTGACTGACCAACCAAGGAATGAGATCACCAGCCGCTCTCTGACCTCTACTCAAGCTGTTCATTACACTTTGCTTGCTGATCTTTCCTTCGAGAGCCACTTGGATCACACAGAGAGGCTCTGGTAAGTGTCTACTGTTCTCTTCAATAGGTGGAACGAGTACAAACAGTTGATGAGCAGGAGCATCACTCATCAACTGAAGATCATCTGGCGTATTCTTGTAATGACTAGCGACGTAAAGAGCAATCATTTGTTGCAAAAACTTTTCGGAAACATCGTGGAAAGAGAAGAGGGTATCGCGATTGACGTTGAGCAACTGACACTGTGAAGGATCTGGGCATCCTTGAAGGGTATTCAATCTCGATCGAGGTAAAGTGGCATCGAGACAGAGTAATTGATTGAGCCACTTCTCGACGGCGTCACCTTTTGCATAACGAATTGGCTCAGACAGCGTGATCTCTCTTAGCGAGCGACCTCCTGAGAAGCTATTATCAGCACCTTTAGCAGCCGCTTTACCACTTGATCGATCAGCTATCTCAACATCCTCAGTTCCATTTGTCGTGCCTCTAGATTGTTCTCGGAGTTGTTTGATCAGTTTCAAAGATAGAGACCTTCCAGTACCTTCGTAACCATTGATAGTGGACGCCATGAATACCAAATAAGGACCCATAAGCTTCTTGACAAGTGGTAGTGGTATCGCAGCGGCTTCATCAATGACTAATAATTCGGCTTGTCCGAGAACGTGCGCATCTTGCGGTCTGATATATTGAATTGTTTGACGATGTTGACGATGTATGTTCACTCGAACAATTGCTTTGTTAAAATCGGGATTTGTAGATTGTATGATTGAGTAGTCGACGTGATCCATGTAGTTAAGAGCATCAAACCCTTTGAAGATGAACTCGAATAAAGTCTTCAAGTTCTCCGGACTTGGGGATGTGATGAAAATATTGCTATATCCATGCGCGACAGCTGCTGCTACAGCAACACCAAGAGCTGCGGACTTTCCACGTCCTCTGCCGGCAGTTAACGTGACAGTGTTCCTCAGCGTCTTTTCGGCGATAGCATCCACGAATGTCAGAAGGGCTTTAGCCTGGTCTACAGTCTTCGCCAAAGTAACGAGTGACCCCACTGGTTGCGTGTCTTGTAAGGCCTCTTTCATGTTATCCAATTCTATCTGTGATTCACTTTTCGGCTGGTCCAAATCTGGCGGAGGCAAAGCTTTCACGTTCTTGCCTCCGGATATGGGTAAAACATTCAGCTCATCGTCAATTACCAGGCATGATTCGCATTTCCCAAGGGATAAAATGAATCGTTCGTTGAATCTCGCAGTAACATCATCGTGCGCTTCTGTTCGGTATCGGGAATGAATATCCATAGACAGTGTGTATAGTTGCTTTAAACTGTTCATGCCTTTAAGCAATAAAACCACAAGTCCACCACCCTCAACTGTTTCAATCGTTCTGGCTAAGAGATTGGGTGTAATGGCTTCAAAATCCTGCAATATACACATTCCGAATGTGTTTCCCAGGATTTTTTCGGTTTCCTTGTAGTAGACATATCGAATGTTGTGCAGCGACACAAACAACTCGAATGGATCCTCTGTGTTAGCTTCTCTGATTCCGCGTTTGATGTCTTTTTTGATTTTAGTTTCTCTCTTCTTCCGATGACTATAAGCAACAAGTACGTCAGTATGCAGCTTCAAAGTCTAACGGATGTCGATACAGACCTCGTAAAACCTAAAAGCTTATTTTTATATGCCCACATAACCGATTTGTTCTGTTTCATGTCCATACTAGACATAATATAGTGTAGATGTACAATAACATCTTTTGTTCTGTCTCCAACAACCACAATGAAGCTTCGTTTCTTCTCCTGTATGCCATTGCGAATGAGCGCGGGGATGCGCTGATCTCTATTATTATCGAATTAGCGCTCAAGAGTGATAAAATGTGTAAAAGTTGTTCCAAACTCACACTGCTTTGCGTTGGCCGACCATATTTTCCAATTGTTCATAGATCGAAAACCTTTTTGATGGCGATATAAACACCAACAAATTGAGGTATTGATGCGCCGGAACTTTTTTTTGGTGATTGCACTTATCTCGAACTTTTTTTCGACAGGGGCCATGCGAGGCTAGAGCTTTTATAGTTTAGTTCATATGCAAGGCTACTATAGGATAAGAGCACTTTTTACGAGGCTGAGCAATTGTATGAATGAGACAAAACGAAAATAGCGCTGAGGACTTTGAAATAGAAGATCTAAAGGGGTGTATTAAAAAGCTTATGGGTATTTTAAATCGTCTCGTGAGACTTTTATCAGACTTGAATCTATGTTCCTTCATCGCCGATCATGCTTTTTGATACTCCAAATATGTGCCATCCAAATCCAAATTGTAAACAATTTTTAGAAACCTTTTACTGTAAAGATTCGATGACAAGAGCGGAGGCTCCACCCCCACCGTTGCAGATACCAGCAACACCGATCTTTGCCTTTTGTTCTCTCAACACATTGATCAATGTGGTGACGATTCTAGCTCCGGAGCAACCAAGAGGGTGTCCTATAGCAACGGCACCTCCATGGATGTTGACCTTGGATTCATCCAATCCGAGAATCTTCATGTTTGCCAATGCGACAACCGAGAAAGCCTCGTTGATCTCATAGTAATCAACGGCTGAAGCATCAATCTTGGCATGCTTCAGAGCCTTAGGAATAGCCAAAGATGGTGCAGTGGTGAACTTGCTTGGTGCCTTTTCAGCATCACCCCAACCAAGAATCTTTGCTAAAGGTTTAAGACCGAGTTCCTTTAACTTAGCCTCCGAGACAAGGACAAGAGCTGAAGCTCCGTCGTTAATTGGTGCAGCATTTGGTGCGGTGACAGTTCCTCCGTTAGGCATGAAAGCAGGTCTCATGGCCTTGAGCTTCTCAATGTTCAAGTTCTTAACCTCGTCGTCTTTCTCAACCTTAACATTTGGCTTGCCGCGGCCACCGCTAACTTCAACTGGAACAATCTCGGTCTTGAAGATACCGGCTTCAGTCGCCTTTTGTGCTTTTTGGTATGACTTGATGGCATACTCATCTTGTTGCTCTCTGCTAATGTCGTGATCAACATGGCACTCTTCAGCAGCCATTCCCATATGCTCTTTCTTGTTGTAGGCATCGGTGAGACCGTCCTTGAGAACACCGTCTACCAAAGTTTGGTCACCATACTTGGCACCATTTCGGAGAGTTGGAAGGTAATGAGGAACATTAGACATGGACTCCGCACCACCGGCTACAACTATATCGGCGTTGCCAGTGATGATTGTCTGAGCGGCAAGGATGATTGCCTTAGTGCCGGAAGCACAAACTTTGTTGACGGTGGTGCAGACTACACCTTCAGTGAGGCCACCAGCAATAGCACATTGACGAGCAGGGTTCTGTCCCAAGCTGTCCGGATTAGTTATCTTTCCTTTACAAAGATGTGATTAACTTACTTTGCGGACAAAACATTACCAAAGAAGATTTCTTCAACATCTCCGGGTTTGATTTCTGGTACACGTTCAACGGCAGCTAGATGTTCGTTAGCCCCAATGTTTTATACGCTCACAAAGATCGAATAAACTTACCCTTGATGGCAATGCCACCGAGTTCAGTTGCAGTCTTGCTAGAAAGGGAACCCAAGAATGAACCGATGGGTGTTCTCACAGCGGAGCTAGAAACATCGAATGATCAGTATTTCTCAACTATACCGTGGTCACGAGTGTAGAAGGGGAAAGATATCCAGAACATGGTCTAAGTAGTAACAATTCTGAAAATCAAAAATGTACAGGAAACTTACACAATATAAACTGGAGGAACTGAAGACATGTTTATGGGCAAAGTAGAAAGTAGAAGGATGAAGATTTGAGATTCGTAAATATTATTTTGGGGAATAGGAATCAACCTCAACAAAGATGTGCCAATATTTATGGTGAGGGCGGTGAGTTGGAAGAACAGTGGTAAGCCCCACTAATCTAGCCTCGAAATCTCCTGCCGCTTTTGAGGTTGTGCTTTGTATATGTTTAGAACAATGTGAAGGGTGATCTTTGAACAGCGTGCATCACAGATGAATTCACAAAGGCGGCAATAACATTAATTAAACTTGAGTTCACAGAGACGGCAAGAATAGTAATCAAAACTTGGAAATCCCCGAAGTCGGTATGAAATCTAATCTAATCAATCTCTTCCTTGCATTCTCCACCAAAGATCTATCCTTGATTCCATTGGATAAGAGTTACCTGGTGTTACAAGGCTGTAGCACGTGATCCCAAAAAAGTACCGTCGCGAAACCTCGAGTTTTCGACGCGAAGCCAGCGAAATTGGAGCTCTATTTCCTTGCACATTCCTTCAATTTCATATATTTTTTGACCTTCTACTTGCTCAAGATGGATGATCTTTATGACGAGTATGTTTCCTCGAAATTTAAGCTCCTTGGAATGCTTGATCGTTGCTAATCTTCTTGCAGGTTTGGAAACTTCATTGGTGATGCCGAGGAGTCAGAGGAGGAGTCTCAGCATGGCAATGATGCGAGCGCATACGTTTACGATGAATATCCAGAGGAGGAACCAGAGGAACCTACGGGGCAGGAATTGATGGACCTTGATGGTTCGTCATAGCTATTTTACGGAGCCTAGAAAGCTATCTGCTAACTTCATCATCTTTAGATGAAGGTCCTTCAAATGCGGTGATATTGCATGAAGACAAGCAGTATTATCCCACGGCGCAGCAAGTATACGGAGAGGATGTGGAAACTATGGTGCAGGAAGAAGATGCCCAGCCCCTCACGCAACCTATTATAGCTCCTGTCGAACAGAAGAAATTCAACATACAGGAGGCGGATCTTCCACCAGTACATTTCGATCGAAGTTTCATGTCCGACCTGATGAATTACCCCGAACAAATCAGAAATATTGCTTTTGCTGGGCATCTACATCATGGTAAAACCGCATTTATGGACATGTTGGTTCTCGAAACTCATGATATCACGGAGCGATTAGAAAAGAAGACCGGAAGGAAGAAGGACGAACAATTACGTTATACCGATATCCATGTTGTTGAGCGCGAACGCGGACTCTCCATAAAATCCGCACCAATGAGTCTAGTGCTTCAGAGTACTAAGGGAAAGTCACATCTTCTAAATATGCTCGATACTCCGGGCCATGTTAATTTCGTGGATGAAGTTGCGTCTTCATTACGACTGGTAGATGGAGTAGTTTTGGTCGTTGATGTTGTTGAAGGAGTCCAAGTCAATACGGAACGGATCATCAAGCATGCAGTTTTGGAAGGACTGCCCTTGACTCTTGTTGTCAATAAAATGGATCGTCTAATTCTAGAGCTCAAGCTGCCACCAACGGATGCTTATTTCAAGCTCAAGCATGTTATTGAAGAAGTTAATACTGTGATTGAGGCTACATTACCAGGTCAAGGGGAGAGCCGAAGACTCAGTCCTGAGAAGGGCAATGTTCTGTTTGCCTGTACTAGCATGGGATGGTGTTTTACTTTGCAATCATTTGCGAAAATGTATGCAGATAGCTACGCCCCAAGTAACAAGCGAGGTCCGGGTTTGAACAACGAAGAGAGTGGTATCAATGCACACGAATTTGCCAGGAGGCTGTGGGGCGACATTTTCTATAACCCATCAAGGAGAACATTCACTCGAAAGGGTGTTGAAGAGAGGTCGAAACGCTCTTTCGTGAATTTCATCCTGGAACCAATCTACAAGCTATACTCTCACACTATTAGTGAGAGTCCAGAAGATTTGAAGGACACTCTGGAAACGCTTGGGATCTTCCTGAAGCCATCGCAGTACAGGACAGATGCCAACGTTCTTCTGAAACTAGTATGTGAACAATTTTTCGGCCCATCAACTGGGTTCGTCGATATGGTTGTACAGCATATACCTTCTCCGGTGGAAGCAGCAGAGAAGAAACTGGAACGCCATTATACCGGTCCATTGGATACAACGGTTGGAGCGGCTATGAAGAATTGCGATCAAGATGGTCCATTGGTCATACAAATCACCAAGCTATTAAACACAAGCGATGCTACGGGATTCTATTCATTCGGAAGAGTGCTAAGTGGTATTGCACGAGCAGGTACTCAAGTGAGAGTTCTCGGCGAAGGATACTCAATTGATGATGAAGAGGATATGAGCGTCGCCACTATATCGGATGTATGGATCGCTGAAACAAGATACAATATCCCTACAGATGGAGTTCCCGCGGGCAACTGGGTTCTGCTTGGGGGTGTAGATAACTCGATTGTTAAATCTGCAACCATTGTACCCCTTGTTTTACCAAACGAAGAGGAAGCGTATATTTTCAAACCCATTACTCATTTCACCGAGTCGGTCTTCAAGGTGGCTGTGGAGCCAATCAACCCTTCCGAGCTTCCTAAGATGTTGGATGGTTTGAGAAAAGTCAACAAAAGTTACCCTCTTATCACTACGAAGGTAGAGGAATCTGGCGAACACGTCATCTTAGGCACGGGAGAACTCTACATGGACTGTGTCCTGCATGACCTTCGACGATTATATGCAGAGATGGAGATCAAGGTGTCTGATCCTGTCACACGCTTTTGCGAGACAGTTGTTGAGACATCAGCTATCAAATGTTATGCCCAGACACCAAACAAGAAGAACAAAATCACCATGGTTGCAGAACCTCTTGACCAGGGTATTGCTGAGGATATTGAAAGTGGAAAGGTCAGCATAAAGAGTCCTGCTCGGGTGATTGGCAAATACTTTGAGGAGAACTATGGTTGGGATTTATTGGCTTCTAGAAGTATTTGGGCCTTCGGTCCCGACGACTTGGGACCAAACATTTTACAAGATGATACCATTCCATCCGAGGCAAGTTTCATTCCCAGAAAGAACCTATTCCCTTACCCCTTGTTAGTCGCTAGCCAATCTAGAGCTGCTACTGCTATTGCCTGCAAAGGCTAAATAGCCGTTTCGTTACACAAACTTTGAAATTATTCGGCCCTTCTTATGCTGACTGATCTACAACAGGTGGATAAGAAGTTATTGCTTAGTGTACGGGATACCATCCGACAAGGATTTAGCTGGGCTGCTCGAGAAGGACCACTTTGTGAAGAACGTAAGTTTCCACTCATTTTTCGTTTGCCCTTTTCCCCAGACGCCCTCCCTTTCACCCTTACCCTATCACTCCCAGGTACCATACATCGTAATTACGGACGACTCTCACGCCACGGTATCACTGAATTAATATGGAAAATTCCGTCCATTATTGTCACACAGACCACAACTACTATCGTACCCCTGAATCAAATTTTCATTGGTCCATCTATCCGAGTTAGTGCTAACATTCCTTGTAGCAATCCGCAATAGTAAATTCAAAATAACAGACGTGATATTGGCTCCCGAAGCAATTTTCCGAGGTGGTGGTCAGATTATTCCCACTTCCCGACGCGCATGCTATTCTTCCTTCCTAATGGCTTCTCCAAGATTGATGGAACCTGTCTACTCCTGTTCCATGACCGGACCTGCAGATTCCGTCACCTCTCTCTACACTGTACTAGCTCGTCGTCGCGGTCACGTCTTGTCGGATGGTCCCATCGCTGGTACACCCCTCTATCGTGTTAGTGGTTTGATACCCGTCATCGATTCTTTTGGATTCGAAACCGATCTCCGCATTCACACTCAAGGCCAAGCAACTGTTTCTCTAGTGTTTGATCGGTGGAGTATCGTCCCCGGTGATCCATTAGACAAGGATGTAATCCTCAGACCTCTTGAACCCGCAAATGCACAAGCCACAGCTCGAGATTTTGTTCTCAAGACCAGAAGAAGAAAGGGTTTGAGTGAAGATGTAAGTGTGGCTAAATTCCTCGAGCCGGAACTCTTCACCAGTTTGAAGGAGACGGGAATCTTGGATGGGTAGGTTGACGGTAAATTCACCAAACACGCGTCCTAGTAGTTAAAGGACCTGGCAAAGGTCTGATTCCTGGATTTGAATCATCCCCTCCCACATACAAATGTGGTTAAACTTCCAAATTGAGAGTGGAAGCGCATGGGCGTTTTGGGGAATTGGTTCATGCATGGCGAATTGAAACATTTGCGACCAAAATAATCAAGATCAGCACATGTATAATTTTCTCTTTTGCATGTGCATGTACATCTCTATACCAAAGAGATAGAATCGAGGTGGATAAATAGATGAATGAATGCAAAATTCACACATTGGTCAATCAACCCAGGTAGGTTACACGAACGAAACCCTAGGGATAAATGGACGTAAAACTGGGGATGGTGGACCTACCATTGCATTACAATTGTTCCTGTTGCTGCACTCGGTGCATACATATAAAGTGCACATGCATTGGGATATACAGAATATAGTACATATACACCAATAATCTGTTTGATCTTTTGATTTACTTTGTATGCAGAGTTAGTTGAGTTGTACTTTCTATGTATGTATGTATCTATGGATGTAAAGTAAACTTTCAAAAAGTGCATAATCGATTACATACTCCGTACATTACCTATTTGATAGATAGAGGACTGGAAGTATGTCAATCATCCACTTGCAATTCTAACGCAAACTTCGCAAAGGCGAATTCTAAACCACGTTCTCATCATCATCATGTGATCATCTACGCCCTTACAGATATCCCAGGAAATATAGAGCGTTGAAGCTTTTCTCGACAATACCATTCATCGCATTCTTCATTCTGCATTTGCATTTGCATCTACATCTCCACATTATGAGGTATTGATAATTTGACATAAAGGATTTAGTATTTACAGAATACATCGACATAGTACAGGGTTCATGAATTTATTTATTCATTTGTATGTTTGTATGTTTACGTACAAACGCAAACGCAATAAGGTTATAAAATGAAATATATAACTCGCTACGCGTAGTTTTAATTTGATAAAAGGAAGGAAGGAAGGCTGTGTACACTGTGCACCGTATAGATAGATGAATATGTGCACTATCGATACATACATGTGTATATATACATTCGCACTATATACATATGCATAACCAAGCTAGCGATGAAAATTCTAGAAAACCCCTACTCCTAGCGAATTGGAAAAACTATTATTCCATACATCTATCTATCTATAGAGTTCCATTTATACGGAGTAGAATTTCATCTATCTATGGATAGATATACCCGTAACGTGATCTTTCATTTCTGTATGTGCATCTATGTACTCCGTATCATGTAGTATTATGCGATATATACATATACATACGAATAGGTACATGTGTACATGCAGAATCTAGATTATTGGATGGATATAATCAATCTTACATAGTTGTAGACATGTATCTGTATGTGTGATCCCTAAAATTTGGTATTATGTTGTATTGTATGCACCCTATACACATTGTAAGCACTGTACATATACATATACATACCTATGCATATACACTCTGTACATACACATATGCAACGCACGAACCTAAGGAACACAATCGATAAAAATTTGGTAGTGGTAGACGGGAAAACGATAATCACATGGCCCTATTATATTTTTGCATGCACATTGCACAGTAACCACACATCTCACATTCAGGTGCCAACTATAATATAATGCACATTATGAAGTAGCCAGGCTACTTAGGTACCTATTCATGGAACAATAAAAGACCGCGATTCAATGCTGGTACTTTCTGCACAAGCATCAGCTCGACTGGTGCGGCTAGAAAGTATAAAACTCTAAACGCTGGAAATGGGAATGATTATTCTTCTAGGTGGAACTACCCCATGTCTAAAGCCTTCCCCTCTTTTCTTAACCTTAACACCGATTTAGCATTCGGGGTTTTTATGCTTTCTGGCCGCACAACCAAGAAATGAGGTAGGAAGGAGGAAAGATGATCCGCGCGTGTAGCGCTCCCCCCCCCGTTCCCAGATCAACCAATATACCTAGTACCCAGTAACCAGTGATCTTTTGCGCCCACATCGCAGGAATTGCCATTCTCTGATTTCTTTGTAATACTCGCTGGTATTTTTGGTGAGGGAGGATCGATGTCACCAAATCAAGAAGTTTGTAGCATAAATAATACATCTATTTATGCGGCTCGGTGATGCCGATATGTACGTGCTATGTACGAGGCTTTATGCATAAGAGCAAAGAATGTGAATTGAATAGAATGAATGGCAGCGGATGCTTGTTGTTATGTGATATCATATCGTCTTGTACATGGACGAGGACCTTATTGGATGCTTGTAATGATTTCCATCTGATCAGCGAACGAACGAACGAACGAACCAGGAACATTTTAGCTACTAGGATACGGGGATCTCGAGCTAATGCGTTAATATGTTGGGAGAGTATAGTCACAACGCACAATGAATGCACTTTGTGCCTAACAGATGTACAGGGGAAATATTTAGTGCTGATCGCGTGAAATAACTTGATCGACAGGATGATTGATTTGATCAACCATAAATCAATGTTTCATAATTTCTCGATGAAGAAACTGCTCAAGGCAAGTTGGGGGCGGCGAAGTAAATGTTATCATTCGGGGTCATGGGGGTAGAGTAAAAGAAGAGGAAGGATGTGATAAACTTTCCCAGTATCTACTCCGTTCTCACCAAGCAAGGAGGGATAGCACGTTCCTTGCACGAAATTTCACTCCCTCGTGAAAATCTCGTGCGTGTGCGAGGGTTCTGACAGGTCCAAGAAAGTATAAAAGACAGAAAGGAGACTTAATATATTAGGCACACGTGTGATGATGGGATTGTTCTAGATTTCAATCCGAGGTCCTCGGAAGCTCTTTTCGTTTTTGAAAATTATGGTTATCTTGTGTGGGGAGTTAACGACAAGCGAAAGGTAAAACTTTGAACCTAGCCCCTGAAATGTTAATCAGTAAGCGGCATTTGATGTCGTGCAGTTTTGCTGGGTGTGGTAAGAGAAACTTTAAGGTGACATTAAAGAGAAGACGAGGGTCTACGTAAGCTTTATGACATTCTTTCATCACTACCACCACCGAGGTATGATCGATTAAGCCCTAATGTTGCAGTGGTCTCATGTGCTTAGGAATCGTTGCACATGAGGGGATGTCGCTTGTGGTGTCGTGTACATGGGGACTTGTCAGGAATTTGCCTCCTGGTAGGCCAAAAAGTTTTGCAATATGGAGAAATTGGTAATAGCTTGCTACTAGGGGTTGCCTGTTTAATTGGGTACAAACGAAGCTCGCTCGTGGTAAAAAGTGGACAGAAGATCAGGGGTTTGTTTGGGTCCATGACACTTGTGGAGATCAACGATGGGAATCTTCTTGGAACTACAAGGACCTCATGAACAATGAAAATGCCACTAGCAATTGAACCTCAGGAAAATAATTCGATACGCGACACAAATTCAACATGTTGCAGAGAGGTCTGCTAGAAGTTTCTGGCGAGTACCGCGGTTAGTATAATATCACACGCACATGCATACGGAAAGGGAATATGGTATTTGGTATGAACTTATTTTAATGTTTCGGATAATACAGCGTCTCGGTAGGTCAATCCAGGGAATTGGTCTGTTTGGCTTGAGTGAAACACCAGGGAACTATGAGGTTGTCTTTTCTTATGGCAGCGCTTTCCTTATTGACTAATTCCCTAGACACGCGACAGTAATTTTGTACAGAGTTCATGAATGTGGTGGTGGTAACATCATTAACCGTCGAGACAGGTCTTCATCATCTTCCTTAACAAATTCATGAGATTATCATTCTCAAGTGCGGCCGCAACACGCTCTTTATCAGCTAGTTGTTTGTTGACTTCAGCGGCCTGACTGTGTGTATCCTTCTTGATCTTGACCTCGACTCGGTAACTTGGCGGGAGGGCTTGTTCCAATCGTACTCGAACGCCAAGTCCAATAACGGTTGCTAAAGAGCAATGCGAAACCGTCGGTGTCAATTCGACCAGTACGCGAGAGAGCGCTGCTGGATTTGTGAGATCAGAAGGCGAAGTAAGGTGAACATCCTCAAGTTTAACTACCCCGAGAGACTCTAATGAGAGAGGATGCTCAGGGTCGGATATTGGCGCGATCAAGTCTTTAAACGTCAGCTATACAAACTCGAGAAAACAGCTGGTACATATTGATGATATTTTTTTAAGTTCCAAATAGCACTGCGTAACAAAGAGGTATAAGCTTGCTTGAAGTATTTGACTTTGGGATAATGATATTGTGTCTACATCATATATGCTATGATTCCTAGGATATATCGAGACTTTGAACGAAATCTAGCAGCGAGTGAGTAAGGAAACTCAAAGTCTTACCATATATTTCTTGTTCATCGATTGGCTCCAAGCCAGAATCATCGGAGTCTTCTGAAAGATCCGACAGATAGAAAGGATCCAATGCATAGCTGGGTTTTGCCATCAATATGCTCTGTATACCATGTTTCTTGGCCGAATAATCTCGAACCTTGCGTTTTTCCCTTCGACGTGATATTTCAGACACATCCAAAATGGTCGGATTCGCGTTCTGGATATCGTCTTTCGATTCCATGATGAGCTGGTTTGGTGGCCACTCGGGGCTCTGCTGTCAAAAGGGTGGCGGCTTGTTTGATGTCAGTAATAAGCTGAGGTTTTTTAAGTTTATGACTCAGATGGATATTGGATATGGCCAATCAGATGTGTGAATTGAGACCCAGCGGGATGTAATATAGATGGCAGGTCCGAGATGTCAAAATTCAAATCGTGGAGTCAAAACTGTGGGAGTTTTAATGGTCGTGAAGATGATGAAATTATCAATATTTCTTTAAGGTTATCGATAAAGCTTCGATTAAGCTAGTGTGCCTGAGGCATAGAAAGAAGTCTGTTGAGTTATGACTAATCAACTAATGATTAGAACTCGAGCTATTTCTCTACCGAATATCGGACTGTGTAGTAATCATAAATAGCAATACTCGCTACCTATACTATCCTTCATACACCTGGTATATTTATACCTATTCATACTTAACCTATATGCTAACTCGTGTGCGCGTCTACTCGATCTCTTTTTACTTTGGCATTATATGGTATTTCTATTTCAAAGTTTCGACGGATTGTCTATCTGTCTATCTCATCTTTATAGTTCAGACTTCCCTTGAAACTTACCGTCATGCTTGAGACATCCATGGCATAGATTTCCTCTGGCCAGAACTTGGAAGCCCAAGTTTCAAAAGCTCTATTTGCCTAAAAAGGATCTAAGCATGATCATCAAGCACGAGCCATCTGCATCTCGTGGCGATCCTGCGCTTTCATGGTTGAAGGTCCTGTGCTATGTCTTTCCGTCGGAAGATCTTTATAAAAGCTGGTTCCTTTTGAGATCGAATTTGAGACAGAACGGAACCGGGGATCGCCCGTGTAACATTAGGTCAGGAAATCTATCGGCCGAACGGCCGTGATGAACGGTGTAGGTAGTTTCTAGACTCTTATCCCTTATTTTACAAAAAACCAGCCTTAATTTGCGTTCCAGATAAGGTACAGCGGCACTGCCTGTGCCTCTCATGCCGATGCCGTGAATGCCCTTGTCAGCAGGACAATTACCGAAAGCAGCTTACGGCAAATACGATGTGTGCCTTTCTTACGTATCCCCTTTTCAGTTTTCCAGTGCTGTCTTGAGGAACGGACAAATGGAAGAGATTGTGGAGATGAAGAGAATTCTTGCACCTCGAGTTTCTCAACATCCTGTGGGCCATTATATATTACTGACCTATCGTTACTTGGTTAATGATAGCGCCGTGATTATGATGGACTTTTTAGACATTTTGCTATTTTCATATCATTATCTCGGTCAGATTTATTTTGGCCTTGACATCAAAGCCAAAAGCGGGAATAGCTCTGATTTTCCCCAGGATTCAAAATTCTAACTAGCTTTCAACCTGAATAGCTTCAATTTAGTAAGTATAGTGTCGTAGTAGCGTGGTGAACTACGGATATTACGGGGCGTATGAATGAGCTTGTTGCCAATAGGTGATAAAGGGCCACAATCATTTCTTCATTCGACTTCATCAAAATCACGAATCTAGCCTAATCGGGAAAACGGGAGGTTTATCACGCCCCACAAGTGGTGAGAAGGGTAAGTGCAAAAATCTCTATTATTGAACCATTTGCAGTATGTAAAAAATGCTTGTCTATCGACACATAAAGCCGCCAAAATCCTTTTCGATAAACTCCCATCTACAAACACGAGCCCAGATTAAGACATGCATAGCCTTTTACCATGTGACCGATCTTTAACGGACACGAATATATTTTTGTATCACTGTACCATATTGTCGGGTGCATCTCTGCTAGTCAAGTGGCTGCGGCTTCGGGGCACAGAATCGTGAGGTCAAAACACCCAATCTTTGACTGGTCTTGAAATTTCAATGCGCCTTGTCTGGAACATAGCCACATATGCACTGCTTGCTGCACTTGCTGCCAGCTGCGTCAATGTCGCTTGAAAGAAAAGTGATACCCGGCGACCTTTTTTGGGACAGGTTACAGGCGAGCACACCTGGGAATCGTGTTTTGCGGGGCAGTAGTGCTGTCCAAAAGATGCATGAATCCACCGATCATCTAACAAAATTATCATTTATGGGGCAACCTTTTGACAGGATATTGGAAATATGTCGGATGGATTCTGCCTTCACCTATTTTTGTGACTTCCCATGGGTCTCGGTGCTTCGGTATAAAAGTCCTTTCCACTCACCGCCAGCGCCTTGGAACAAACCACAAACGCCAAACCGACGATGTGTTTGCAGTACAGTAATTGCTAAATGCCTAGTACTTTAATCTTACCTAGGTGAAAATATACCAATACGTTTAAGTCCTAACCTACTCGGAATTTTCGGTGTTACAACGGGATCGTTATCAATCAAGCAAAAATGAGTTTAGGGGGGTAGTTGATACGCGTTTGTGATGGGTACGTCGTACGACGAACACACGGTTAATGCCTTTCCCTATTCCCTTTCTAATGCATGCAGCAGAAAAATAAACGGTATCAAACTGCTGTGGCTAGCCCTCATGAGGTCCCTATGACATCCTAAAACTGCCAATGCCTGCCATGGATCTGACATTCTGTAAAGCCTTCACGTTTGAACCCTGAATTCGAGTTACCTCTGATCTGCCGGGTGTGGGCTGCTTCAAAACCTATTGTAGCACAAACCAAATTCTCGAAAGGATGCCTGCTTTTCCCGCCCCACCCACAGTACCCTTCATCTTTACGTACAATGTGTCGGCTTGCATTTCTACAGCTATGAAGGGAACAGTATTTTTTCCAGGTTTTCGAGGGCCGAATATGTTTTCCGATTTTGTCCTTCGTTTAACACAATTAGTTCGATATAGCCACTAGTGAGCTCAAGGATGAGATCAGCTTTGTCCTACACCAGTAACAAAACTATGTTAAAATCCCTTTGGCAAGTACGCCAAAGAATATTCAAGTAGATATCCAAATGTAAATCTGAAGCTCTTGAAACAAATAGTATACCACTTCCAAAGACATAGGGATCGGTATCAACAAAGTGAAGATACCGAACAATGCAGACTTCGCGCTACCGAAATTTAAAGCGGTACATACCACCATACCAAAGCATGACTGGAATACTCACGGAGAAAGAGAACGGATGGCTGATCACTTCGTCACGGCCGGAAAAGATCTTATGTAATTACAATTTTTGTTCCGCGATATGAAGGGACAGGGAGGCAACACTATGGCAAGAATCTTGAGGAACAGTGTAGAATTGATAAAGACAGGCTTAACAGTAACAAGTAGTAATTATTTGTTTAATATAAAAGCAATACTAATGTTATATAAGCTTCTATTGTAACCCTTGTACCATGACAGACAAGATGATCGAGATCCGCGGCCAGCTACAAAGGACTCTCGTCAAATTAAATGCGATTAGACCCCCCTTCATCATTTTTTAGAGGGCCTTGGCATAGATGGACATGCCCATCTCTAATTCTTCGCTGCGATCAGTCTAATTATTGTTCTGCGGACGAATGTCCGACCGAGGGAAGAACAACTGGATTACTAAATCACTAACTCCGTGTCGCTTGTCTTCCGGGGCCTCTATACTCGATGAATGGCACAGGAACTTTGGGATTCTAAACATACCTCCTGTTACTTTTCAGAATTTTACTTCTTTGTGGTTTACCCGGTACTTATTCTGCACTATTGATCAGTACCATTAGCCAAATGAAACATAGAATGGAGAGGAGAGAAATCAATGCTAGGGTTGGTTGGACACGAGGAAAAAGGGCGGAGAGAGGTCTAAAAAAAGAGTTGTTTTTTTTTATATCATCCGAACTTTTCATTGCTCAATCATCACGCATAGACCTCTAGTTATCATGTCATCGGATTGCCTTTCTTAGTTTAAACTTTGAAGCTTTACCTCCATAATATAACTCTGTACACAAAACAGATTCCAAAGATTAAGCACTTACGAATCAAGATAAGATGAATGCATGTGATGGCAGTAATCACATCACACTCACATCTAGGAGTAGAAGCTCAGATTATCGGCAGCTCCCGCTCCAGGAGTTGGTTTGATGGAGATTATAAGTGTCAAGTGAGGGGGGGGACCTTACCGTGTTCTTTCTTGGGCACCCCCGTTGTATCTCATAATGACAATTGTGATAATGATTTGATGATTTCATTAACTGGATTGTCCAGAGGCAAAGAGGGGCCAACCTATTTATTACTCGAGTAATTACCAATACAAAAAACGAAGCCACTTTAAATCTGGATTTCAACTCAATCGGAATTCTTTTCTCACCAGGGAGGGAGTTGCAGTAATGTATTATGATAACGGAAACTAGAAGGATGAAGGATTGCTACATCATTTCTGACCCCTTCCATTTCGAGTTCCTTGATATCTTATTCTTATTCTAGAAAACGCCTCCAAAGGCTTTTCAATTTCCCGGTTCAGGTAAAAAGACGAACTCTCCTTCACTTTGCCTAGGTACCTAGGCACTTGTACTCGCCCACCGTGGCCTTCTCAACTTGTTAGCACAAGTTACAACCAACTCCTGTATTTCGACCGGGATTCTGGGAACCAGCCGTTTCGAGTTCCCTGCAATCTATCACCTCCCGGCATAGGTAGTAGGTACTCACTTGCGGGTCCTTTTCTTGTCAGACCTTACAGACCTGATTAGCTTGCTGGATATTCCCTTCCCCTCCCCATACAGACACCCATGGTCCAGTTATCCCATCCCTCCTTACACCACCTGCATGAGGCATATAACCTCATACGGTCATACCTACAGAGTAACACTTTCGGTAAGAGAAGCTTGGGATTTATTGGGGAATCGCGTTTAGACCCATACATATCCCATATCCACCTTACCTATCTATATCCATCCTCGAGTACCCATAGCAAATTAAGCAAACCTACAGGCCATTTCCATTATTATTATTATCACCGCCCACCAATGCCACCACACACCATACCTTCCTTGTGCCTTGTTGCTTGCTTGATAGAATAGAATTGGGTCTGGAAGGGCGTTCATCCTACCTACTCTTGCATCACTTTGAACTAACAATTTATACTTTTTTCTGGTGGCGAGACCCTAGATCAATCCGAGCTTTTCTCGAGTGCGGAGTAGGTTAGGTGCTTAGGTGGTTAGGGTAGGTACTCTTTATTTTAGTTCCTACCTTACCTGTTCATACATACAACTGCCATTGCTAGATCCCATTTCGATCAAATAGCGCATCAAAAGAAATCATAACATAGGTACCACCTGTCAAGTCAATCCTTTGTTTCTTTTTCTATAGGGCAGCATTTCCTTCGTCTGATAATACCCATATTACTATACACCAAACATTACGCATTGGTACGTGAGGGAGGTGGGCGCATGTTGTACTCATGATGTCTTCAAACATAGATAATCATTTTAGCTGACCCTGATTTACTTTCGCAGTTTCATGCTTCGGGATTCTTGAAGCTCCGATACTCCACCATTTCGATTTCAAAGCTTCAGTTCGGGGTCTCTCGAATTAGTCGAACCAAATTCCAGTGCTTATTTAGGGCTTAGAACGTGCCCCCTCATCCCGGATGCGGCCGAGTAATAGAATCTTGGGCTCACGACACTCTGCTTCCTTATATCCTACTTCGTATATATCGACAATCCTCACTAAAAGAAGCAATTGTATATAAGAGATTCGAGGAAAGGCGCCTATTACCTTCGGCTTGAAAACTGTGTAGGAGGCTGGGATTGAAATCGCATTTGGATATAGAATATGTCCCAAGATCTTGGTACAAGGAAAATACTCCCACAAAGTGCACAAATGCAGAACTTTTCATTTGCGCCAGCAAACTATGGTGGACCGAGGGAGAATCAGAAAAGTGCGCAGCTTTCCCTTCATTCGCGGGATCTTGGAGTTGTCGTGGGCTAATACATCGTAGACTATGTCTTTGTTGACGAACATAATCGCCACAAGCGTTTGAAGGGTACGAGGTCTTCAAAATTGTGCGCTCTTCCTTACTGATACAATATAGTGATGCGAGCTTGTGAGGGATGTCGAAGGAGAAAAATCAAATGTGATGCCGCAACAACGAATACCTGGCCATGCTCCGCTTGTACAAGGCTCAAGTTAGGATGTGTCCCTCCAACGGTGAACTACGATCGCGATTTTCAACAAAACAACCAAAGCTTTGAAGCAGAAGCGCCCCAGTATGATAATGGAGGGAATCCCGGTGACGGTTATCATCAACAAGTTCCGATACAAGCGCAGATGTCAGGGCCATCAAAGGTGGTACCTCCGATTTATACACAGCAACCTCCATACCCCGATCCGAATAATATGTACCAACCTATTCCTTACGGGGGACCTTCGAGTGCACATAGTCAACAGGCTATGCACTATAACAGTCTTCAGACTCCAGTCAGCGCGCTCAGCCAACATACAGAATATTCACCACAAGCGGTATATCCTCCAGCATCTCTTCAGCAGCAAACGCATGATTCACCGGAAAACTATAATCACAGCGAATATGGCGGGGAAGATTTGGCTGATTTACTGGGAGAGCTTAAGATGAATCCAGCAGGCACAGGTAAGTGCTTTGATTGGCGCACTAGCTTGTAATTCTAATAAAGAAACAGCTCCATACCTGAATAACAAGAACAAGGCCAGAAATTTGGTTGAGGAACCAGCTTTTGAAGACATTGATGAATACAAGAATGCTTTGCCTCCAATCACAATAAGCGCAGATATGAAGATCAGAATTCCTCCAGAGTTGCTTCCAGACGAACAGACCATCCTACATTATTTCGAAATGTATTTCACAAATGTACATCCATATGTACCAGTTCTTAACAAATCTTTATTTTATCAACAGTGGCATACTAATCGAGATGCCATCTCCCCTCTGATACTTGAGGCAATTTTTGCAATCGCCGGAAGACTTGTCGATGAGCCAGCGCAGGGACATCAATGGCTCGCCCTTGCTTCAAGTAAGACCTTATCTTGCAGCTAAACGAAACATCCCACTAACTTCATGTAGAACATGCTGATGCTTTTATGGATGTTCCCCGATTGAGCACTCTTCAAGCGAACCTGATAATACTTAAAGCTAGAGAATCTGCCCCCAAACGTGGATATTACTATCGTTCCTGGATGACGGTAGTGGCGTGCGTCCAAATGGCGAAGGATTTAGGGCTGGACGAGCACTATGAGGACCACAAGGCAGGTAGAACCTGTGGCTCTGATCTGGCTGACTGCATCACCAAAACCCGAATATGGCAAACAATCTTCGTTTGTGAATTGATGATTGGTTCCCCACAGGGTCGAACCGATTTAGCGGTTGACATGGAAACACTTGACTTGAGTGTGCACACTTCTGGAATCGACAATGGAGAACTCACCATCACACGCAATTTTACTTGGTTCACACGTGTTGTTCGTAATGTTCGGAGGATGAATAATGTATACGCCAAGGTTAAGAAGAGAAAGGACTGGGGTATCGATCCAGATTTCGTACAACTAAATCCATCTTTCGAGAGTTGGATGAATGATCTGCCCGAAAGCTTGCAAATTGACTTTCCAGCGGACGGATCTCCCCCATGGCTGCCTACCCATTTCATCGGCAATCTTCACTCATATTATTACCTAAGTATCATTATGCTTCATCGGCCACAACTCACTTTCATGGAACCAGGCTTGGATGGATGGAAACACCATATGCTCATATGTTATAATTCTGCAAAACTCCTTTGCAGACTTCAAGAGAGCGTCTTACAGTCATTTGGCTTGACCGGTCTATTATGCATGCAGCGGGGCATCAACTTCACTATCTATTGCGTCTTGACCTGTACAGTCCTGCATTTGGTATGTCAAACCTAACTTACCAATCGTCTTTCATGATATGTTGACAAATTATAGGTTGCAATCACATCTCCGGATCCAGATCTGAACTCGGACGCTAGAGAATACTTCACCAGACATATGAGAATCCTAGAAAAGTGTACTAGCTCATGGCCCATGCCAGACATGCAGCAACAGATTGAGTCACTCAGGCAAGCATTTTCAGCTGACATTAGGAAGCCTTTCGTTCTGAAACCATCTTTCCCGTATGGTAGCCCCGCAGTAGCAAACAATCATAGCCCTGCCAGAGGACATGTTCAACAATATCGTCAAGGAAGCACCAGCATGGAGAGTCAAAATTTGGGACATCAAAATGCCCAACAGCAACATGTCAGTTATACAAGCCACCCCATATCACCACCCATATCAGCTGGGGGCGTGGACACGAAAAGTGACTCTCCTGCCGTACAGTCTCTGGTAATGATGGCCACTGGCCAAAGAGCCCAGATGCCAATCACTAGTGGGGTTTCAATGGCAGATCAAATTCCATGGAACCCGTCAAGAATTTTTGAGTAAGTTGACTCTAGGTTTTTCATTGAAAGAGTTAAAATACTAATATCTCTTTAGCCAATGGAACAGCACTTTCGGTACGCCTCCCGCTTCGAGCAGCTCTGCTTCTGAAACGACCCCTCCTCTAAAAATTCCCTCTTCAGGTGCACAAGAACTCCCGACCCTCCCAGAAATTCAAATCCTCCCCAATGTGAGCTTACCACCGGGGTCGCAACCCATCCCTCCGCAGCAGTATTCTGGGGCGCCTATCCCTTCTTTTGTGAGCCCAAGTATGTGGCAAGAATCGGTGGCGAATGTATATGAAAGTGGGATCAAAAGACATTGGGATTACTCTGATCCCAACGAAATGGTGAATCCGATCGCGAAACGAAGGGGGTAATTACTTCTTTAAATGAAAGTTTAGAGATGGAATGGTGTCGATAGGAGCACGTGCGATTAATGAACTACAACCGATTTCGATGGCAAGAAAGCTAAGGCCAATACATTCGTTCACACACACACAATATTTTATTGCTTGGGAATTATCTAGTTTACAAGAAATTCAATACGGAGGGTTTGATGCATCCAGGTTTTGGTACACGTACTAGCTCGACTGCCGCTTCATACATTTCCTATCAATATTCACGGTAACTTCTCGCATCACACCGAATTTTCGAAAATTTCGATTACAAAAAGTAATTAATAAGTACATATATAAATATTCATACACGATTTTGGGGTGACAAAAGGCAAAAGGCAAAACTCATCAAAGATGAGGAGTTGCATCATTGGGCAGGATCATTCGAAGGGATTGAAAGTAAGGACGGGAAGGAGGAATTAGGCGCAATGGTTGGATGGATGTAAAAGTCCTTGTCATTGTCCAGACAAATGCCCACTTTTGCATTTGGATTTGGATCTTGGTATTGGAATAATGATGAGATGGAAGTATGTTGGAAGAGAAAAGGACGAAAGATGGTGTGTAGATACTGTACGTGTCTTGCCGTGAACAGCGAATGCATTTTGAAATGAATTAAAAGCGTAGCGTATTAATGAAATTCATTCTTAAAGCATTTCTATGTTTTGCGCATTAAATTTGTAGATGTATTTCTAATTTTATGTACTGACGATGGGTGGTAAGATTTTATATTCAGTAGTTTTGGGATTGTGATTTGGATTTGTTGATGAGATGGAAGTATGTTGAAGAAGAAAGGAAGAAAGATGGTATGTAGATATTGTATATATCTTGTTATAAATAATGAATACATTTGAAATGAATTAAAAGCATATTTAATGAAATTTATATTTAAAGTATTCTACGTTTTATATATTAAATTTATAGACATATTATAATTTTATATATTGATGATAGATAGTAAGATTTTATATTCAGTAATTTTAGATTATGGTTTGGATTTGTTAATCTGTGTGATGTAATGGGTGATAATGGATGGTGGGAAAATTAATGGAATGAACATATATATATAACGTGTTTCATCACCCCGTGCACCATATCACCTCGTGCACCACTTTCACCTCAATTCCTATTTATAATCATATATAATTCAACAATTACTTGATCAATTGATTTAAACTAAGCACTATCTAATAATTTAGGATCTATATTATCATTAGAACATGTTCTTGCATTATGACCTGTTATTCCACATTTACTACAGCATCGATTAGTCGATGCCTCTCTATTAGAATTCCGCCCATTTTGTTGCCTATCGCGTTTAATCTGAACATCCACCTCTTTTTGTGATATAATATCATTAGCCTCTTGAATAGTGAGAGCTCCTCCTAAACGTAATTGAGTCTTTTTAGCGCGTCGACGTTTACTTAATCCCGTATTTGTCAATCGAAGATTGTGATTCTCAAAAGCTAAAATCGTGACAGTACTAGCTAGGTATTCTACACCCTTAATTAAAGGATCTGTAGCCTTAAATATAGGTGTAGGAGAGCTAGAATGATGCCGAGCAATAATAGATCGTACTAAAAATGCTTGTGAAAGAGCTTCGATGGCATTGTGAGGTGTTTGTGAGACCCAATCGGGCATATGACTCGAAGGAAGCGAAGGAGGAGTAGGTGTACGGATTCGAATATCCATTCTAGAGAGTACAGCATCGGGATTAAAAGGGACTAATCCTGCTCCTCTAAAGCCTGCTTTCATATTCTCCATTATAATTGCTTGTTCGTATACAGCATTGAATGCTATAAAGAATTCGATTTTGGAGATATGATTGATATGCATCCGTATATACCCCTCAATTTGCTTGCTATATGCGCGTTTTAGCACACTAAAACAACTAACATCAAGAGGTTGGATGAGATGACTCGAATGAGGTAGTAATCCGATGGCTTTAATTTTATGTTCTATACAATAGTTCTGAAAAGGGCCTGATTCATGGCTTTCATATCCATCTAAGACTAGCATTCGATATGCACCCTTTGTTCGGAGTTTCGTATGCTTATCAAAATGCTTTAGTCATTCTAAACCTATCTCATTATTCGTCCATCCATTTATAGTAGTTTTAACCATTTATTCGGGAGGCATATCCGTCTTGCTGTACCAATTGGCTAGGTGCATTTGTCCTTGAACAAGGAGATATGGAGGTATGTTCTCCCCCGTCGTATTACCACATACAATCGCTGTCGACCATTCTCTATTGCCTGGCTGTATTCCTTTACTTTTGCTACGTCTATCTGCACTAGTAATAACCATACTAGAGGATATCACTCCCATCATAAAGCCTGTTTCATCAAAATTCCATATATCGCACTCCTGTATTCCATATTTTGCCTTTATATTTTTGAATAGTTGAAACCACTTATTAATAAGCTTAGGATCCTCGCAGAGAGCCCTTTGGAAGTCGTAGGCACGATTAAAACGCGTTTTTAGAATATTGTGTCGATTCACGAATCGATATACCCATTGTTTACCAACACGCTTTCCACCCCTCGATTCAAGAATGTGATTCGCCATACTTTCAACACTTATGAATTTAGGACTAAATCCTCACTCATCCATATCGATTATATGCTGAATAATAACCTCCTCTTCAATTTTAGTAATTTTATGCTGTTTTTGACGATATTCGGAGGCAGGAGTGATCCCTTTCATTCTACGCATGAGTGTCGTATGAGTAATATTGTAAATCTTGGCAGCTTTCCGGAGGCTTAAATTTTTATCTTTAGCCATTGCCTCCATCGCCATAACGATATCGCGTTCATTTAATGTCGATACCATAATTATTTATTGATAAATCGCGTATTGAAGTGATTGATGTGAATTGAGGTGAAAGTGGTGCACGAGGTGATATGGTGCACGGGGTGATGAAACACGTTATAGAATTTAATTAATAAAGTCAAATTCATAAGCATATACATGCTTGCATATATATATATATCACACACACACACATACATCATTCAAGCAGACACACAAGAAAGATGTGAAAAGGAGAAAAGGGCACCATAAGCCAAGTTGTGAAATATGTATACAGTAGAAACCAATTGCCGAAAACCAACCCAAACCAAATCCCGAATTCCAAATCCCGAATTCCAAATCCTAAATCCCAAATCCAAAGCAAAGATATTGAAAAAAAACCCCAACAAAAAACAACAGCTAAACTGAACTAAACTAAAGAGGAGGCTAAAGAAGAGACAAAAAACCCCAAAGTAGAAAAACAGATGGAACTCGAAAAACCAGAGTTAGGTCAGACCGAGCTACTGAAAAATATGAAGATTGAGGAAGGAACAGAGATGGAGATTCCCTCCTTTGAACCCCCAAACATGTAATGAAGTGGTGGACTGGTAAGCACCAGAGATTCGAGAGTTTTAGACCTCTCGAAGATTCCTCATTCAAGGAACTGTATGTGCAGAGAGGAGCCCACCTTAGCTATGTCTCCACCTCAGCCAAAATATAAAGAAATCCACCACCTAGCACCAATGACACACCAAAAATGTCCATGTACCCATATACCATGGGCTCCGCAGCACTTAAAACTACCACCGAAATCACCATCGCAAGAACTAATCCCGTATTCCCCAGCACGGCCATCGTTAGCGCGCATGTTTTGCGATTTATAGAGAAATTCGAGTAGTTGAGTAGGAATGCTATGATGCCGTTTGTGAGGAGCAGAAACAGTCCGGATGGGGAAGAGATCAGAGATGAGTTGTGCGAGGAAATTTGTTTGATGAGGAATTCGTCGATTTCGCCGTTCATGTAGGACCAGAGGGTTGATTGGATGCCGGTTAGGGGGGCGAGGGAGTGTAGGAGGTGGAGAGGGTGGTGGGAGAGCTGGGTTTGGAGGATGGGGAGGGTGAGGGTTTTGGTGGTGCTGAGTAGGGTGCTTAGGAGGGGGAGGGGGATGGTCGATCCGGTTAGAGTGTGTGTGTTTTGGGTTGTGAGGAGGATGCCGGTTATTAGGGGGATGAGGGCGAGGAGGGGGAGTCGGGTGTAGGGTTTGTGGGGGAGGTGAAGGAGCTGCGTGACTGCTAGTACGATGATCGGGATTGTGGAGCGTAGGATTACGTGGTCGGGCATGGACATTATTCCACTGGGATATGTTAGTTGAGTTTGTGTGATTTGGGGAATGGGTAAAAATGAAGAAGGGACAGAAAAAAAAAACATACAGTGATACATTACTAACAGCGATATTAACCGTGTACAAAACCGAAAACATGAGTATGTAATGATTTTTCCCGCGACTGCGACTGAGATGCTCGGGTTTTGAGTTGATAGGATCAAGTCTGCGGGAAAGATATGTGCCCATTGAGGAACACAATGCGTGCCAGGCGGTAAGAAGCCATGGGTATGGATACTTTAGATGAGAGAGTTAGAATGAGGAACTTTCATTTTCGCAGGACCTGAAGCTAGGTTCGAGGGGTGAAAAACTTGCTTGTGTGAGAATTCTCTTATTCAGGATTGTGAGGAGAAGATTGAGCGCTAGGTAGGTTATCAGATGGGATTTGAGGATGCGAGGCGAGAAAGTGAGACGATTCATGGTGGGTATGGTGGTGTGAGTGGTTGGAATCAGTCGAGTTGGAATAGAGTGACAAGAGAGAAGTGCATTTGAAATATATCGAAAAGTTCGGTAGAACTCATCACCAGATTTGACTTTTGTTAATCAAACTTTGAGGTAAAGATAACGAGGCGTATTCGAGGCTGCTAAATCTCTGGAGTTTACTCCATTGCGCTTTCCCAAGATAAGTGACTGCAAGAAGAAGTAGTTTCCAGAAGGAAACTCAAGCGGATCTATAACTAGAATGAGTAAATGAACGAATGAACGAATGAACGAATGAACGAATGAACGAATGAACGAATGAACGAATGAACGAATGAACGAATGAACGAATGAACAAAGGAGAAACCTTACTAACATATTTAAAAACACATCACAACAATCCGATAAATAGTCATCCGTCCAATCCCAATCCATCTCGTCAAGACTATTCACATAGACTGAATACTCGTCTGTCCACCCTAGAATACGAGCTAGGGATCAGTTTTCTGAGACTTTAGGAAGATTGGAGACGTGGAGAGGTTATGGACGAGATGGAGGACTTACAATCCATTTCCTGGGTGGTTCGCTGGTTAAGCCCGTCGAGGACGAAGCGCGGGGCGGGCGGTTCGGCGAGGGCAGGCGCGGCGGGTCGCGCGGGGAGAAAGTGCATAGATATTGTTGTCCGTGAGGGTGATTGAGGTTGTTGCGCTGTGGTTGGCATTAAGGAGGGAGGAAGAGGAGAAGCGGCGAATGGCGATGGCGGGATGGAAGTAAATTGGTTATAGGGAGGAAACGAAGCAGGAGTCAATGCTAGTGCCTGCGAAGGAGAAGCGGAGGCGGAAGAGGTATAGGAATGGTTATTGGTGTAAGGAATTGGTACAGCGGTCCCTGTTGAGGGAAGGAACGAGGATTGGGTGTATGAGGGAGGGAGGTGTGCCGGAATGTGGGCAGGGTGAGGAAGAGGAGCCGGAGCAAAAGCGGGGATTGGTTGATGGCTGGCTGGGCCACATCCTCCTACCATGGAGAAGGGGAAGCCATTATTGCGTTTCGGTGGAAGGACCACGGGAGGAGCAGCGGGAGCAGGAGCAAAAGAAGATGTTGGTGGTTGGCTGATTGAGCCACCTCCTCCTACCATGGAGAAGGCAAAGCCATTATTGCGTTTCGGTGGACTGATCGTGGGAGGAGGGTAATTTGCTGGAGATGAGTTGACAAGAGGAGGAGGGGGAGCAGAGAACATAGAAACTCTATTCTTGGTAGTGTTCGTAATCGTGGGTTCTTTCTTCATTGATGACATGGCTTTGAATGCCCATGCAGAGTTTGGAGATGAGTTAGTTGTCATTGTGAAATTGAAGAACGGGAAGCTTAAAGATTGTTTTTTTCAAGTAGTGATTGCTGATCAACAGCAAGATAAACATGTAAAATCTTTGAGTTGCCTTAGTACGTGAAAGTAAAAGGATGAAAGAGGATAAAAAGATCTCATGAGTGGAGTAGTGATATAGATTTACGTACGGTCTCAACTGGCAGACAATTACCCGTATTGTGATTTCAGATGAGGTTGTTGTACAGTAGAGATGGCCCGCTTAATTTTCGATGTACCACAGAACAATACATACCACTTCCAATATGAATATTTGGCAGAATATGATATTTACTTTTGCTCCTTGAGCAGTGAACTTCTCCTTATTGTCTATTTGCCATAGGATATTAGAACAGTCAAGAATATCAAGAATTGTGCAAATAACGAGTCTATAAAATATTCGGTGAAACATATAATTGCAAGCTATTACCTAGGTTGACTAGGAGAAGAGACAGTTAGGTCATAACCATTAAAGAGCTGATCATATTAGCATATTGTCTCCCGCACTGCAGAGTACCATCACTATACAATGTAAGACTAGTTCAAATGAAAGCTACAGGCAAGAAATTTAAACGATAAGTACGAGAATTTTTTTCCGACTTAATTCCACTGTAACTTGACATGGTATTGTCATTCCGGAGGAGTCGAGTTTACCAGCGAGTTTGTCACTACCTACTCAACTTCTCATTGTTTCTTGCACTTTGAAACAATAAATTTCCAAGATATTCGACGCATTACGAACAATAACTATAGCATACAGAACCTGAGTATTGAAGTTGCTTTACTCCATTCAATGGAGTGTGAGCATGATATGACTTTTCTATCGTAGAAAGAGGGCCTATGGGCAGATATAACAAGCGACCCTTGTAGTTTGTTTTAGGCATAAATAGAGTGATTCAAACCCCATAGTTATCGATTTAGTACAACAAGAACCTAACAAAATTCTGAAGAGGAAAATGGGTTTTGGATGCCTTTCTCTCGTTTACTGAACGAGAGAAAGTCATATAACTGCAGGAGAATGACAATGATATGATAACCACGAGTAAGAACTGCACAATTGTCAGGCCTCTCAGCCTTCAGTCTCTCAAAATAAAATTTTCTCGCATAATACTATACTATCTCCAAGGGCGAAGGAAAAGAGTTTACCATCTCGACTGAGGGAAATCACAGCGATGTGCCCCTTGTCACGCATCAATCGTCCTAGAGTGGCATTGCTCTCTCTAAACTGATTCTTATTGCGAAGAGCTTATGCTAGCTTTACTATAAGTACCACGGTCTTTGATTCAGTCAGGGATGTTAAGGAAACTTGTGTTGATCACTGTCTAGAAAAGATCATTGAGGTTAAAGTTGGACATGCATCGATTGTTCACGTAGCATTTGTCATCAAAAGATTTACAGTCACGTGTACAGGCTAACCTCACATCTCGACTGAAATGTTCAAGTCAAGATATCAAATTATTTTCCACCCAGCCCATTTATTGCTCTTAATCAGAAGACTCGTTGCCTCTGAAACGTATTGATTCCCATGAAATCTTTGGATATTCTCGCCTATAACGATGGTTGAATTTGCTTTTGATACCAGGTGACAGGTCCAAGGAGGAGTTTTGGTATTAGGTTAATGTTGGAGTTGCTGGTACTGAATTCATTTGCTCGTCTCATTCATCAATAATAGGTAGTCATTCCTTTTAACATTGACCAAGTATACATTGACATGCTCATTGAGGTATTGTATGCTAGTTGACTAGGTGGATTTTTCTTCAACGCCCCCTTCATTGCGTTTCTGCTAGCCATGTAAAACCTCGAGATGGATGTTCCTTCCCAGCCGCTTCGATTCTCCCATCGAAAATTACGGAACTAAGTCCTTTCCGTTGAGTTTCTTGCTAAACTTAATTTCTCCATAAGAATCTGGCCTTCTGTTTTCTTCTCCGGTCAAAGGTTTTTAATCTACGTTTATTCCTTCCGATAGTTCGGCACCAATCAACGAAGACAGATCTCGTTAGTTAGATTCAGAGCATCAACGATTGAGCTTGTGATGGTTTACGGTAGTTTCTCATCGAGTCATACTTCTCTACGGCCATATTGTTTGGTACTGCAGTTTGAAGTTCTAGTCTGACTTCGACTTGAGTCTATCTACCAGCGCCGACATGGTTTCGTACTGAGGTTTTACGGCTATTAAATTGCCAGAACTCAAAATGATACTAGGCAATGAAGCTTATAGAGCTAGAACAAGCACAGATAAGGTGAATGCGACAGCATTAACTCGAGTAAGTATGCACTAATACCTCAGAGTGACTATCCAAAAGCTCTATCGTAGCTCTACACTTACAACCCCTCCTGGCAAATCGTATCTAGCCTATCAATCGCATCATCGTTGGAAGGTCCCATGATTTTAAATACCTCGATTCTTTTTGTTAGTCTGGCCGGTCCTCCTGTGTCGGGATATTGTACTACGAATAGTTGCTCATTGTCAATATTTTACTGGATCTGTAATGACAAGATCACTCAAGCTCAGAAAGATATTCAACTAGCACATAGAAAAATCATTAGCACTCTACCGACCGACGACATTAATTTTCCCTAAGCAAAGACTAAACGAACTAGATCCTCCTTAGCACATCGAATAACGATCTAGACAAATGGTAGTTACAACATAGCCGTACCATCACAATGATGTCCCACTTAAAAAATGCTATATAAACCCCTCCTCCCACCCTCAATCTCAATTTCTTTTCTCTTCATTGCACAGCAGATCTACCAAGTCCATCGCTACTTTGAGTGTTTCTTCGGAATCTACCAAGTCGATTGATACTTCGAGTGATCTGTTTTTGTAATACTTTTTTGAAAAGATCTACCAAGTCGATTGCTACTTTGAGTGTTTTCTCAGATCCTACCAAGTCTTTTGATACTTTGAGTGTTCTTCTTTGAAGATCTACCAAGTCGATTGTTACCTCGAGTGTTTCTTTGTATTCTACCAAGTCTTTTGATACTTTGAGTGTTCTTTTTTTTTGTTGCTATGCCTTTTGCTATATTTTTTTGGTCAAGTGATCTTTTTTTGCCATAAATTATGCCCTGGATTTGAAGCGTAAGTTCCTTTTGTCTTGTGTTTTGTTGGTTGCAACGGTAAGTTAATAGCTTTTTTCTTTTCAACATTCTGCTCTCTGGGTGAGTTTCTTCCTGTTTCTTTTTTTAATGGCCGTTTGTTATCTGTGGTTTCGTCATCTATGTGGCCTAGCTGCATTATAGCTCCTAATTTTTTTCTAGCTGTTAAGCTATCCGCTACTCAGCATACTTAAGAGTGAAAAAGATACCCCTTCGTAGTTTCGGTTTTACGAAAAGAAATCAATGCTGTAGTGCCGTGCCAGTTGATTGAGTCTCAATATTTGCAGAACATCTTCGAGTTATCAGTGTATGGGTCATTGTCTGTATCAAAAGCTTTCGCACGTCAAGGAATTAGTGTTGACATTTTAAACTTTAGTGTGGTGCTAATTTCAGCTAAGAATTAGAATCGCGCCTCCTCTTTTCTTTTCCTACCTTGCCTCTTGTCATCTTTCATTAACATTTCATTTTCCCTGAATGCCCATAGCTCCGCAAACAACCATAAAATACTACGTAAAGAATACGCTTCTGGGGTAAGAACTATTACTACTTCCGTCAAAGTATTATTTGCTAACTACCAGTTGTTTAAAGCTTCACCAAAACAGAAATAGGAGCATATGGCCCAAGTCCCAACTTCATGCACTCGTTCTGGAATTAGTAGATCTTTCTAGATAATATCTCACAATTGTTTGATAAATGCTAACTTGTGGTATATGAAGCAGCTGAAAATCATAATGCCTCACCCATTTGTTTGAATAGGAACTAAACTTTTCTTCGTTCTGAAACTTCTGCGACGGTCTAATTTCAAGGGACAACTAAATACTCATGAAGTTAGACTTGGCTACATTCCCAAAATTCACAAATTCAACGAGTGTTGGGGACTCCTACCATGAATTCAAAATTCATATGGTGATCCCAGAACTAACCAATCCATGGATTATATTCACACACCCAAATATTGTACATATGCTAACTCCCAAAGAC